CATTAATAGTACCTACAGCAGAACTGTAGATGTCTCGACATCACAGCATGTTAAATTACATCTTAATTAAGAGAAATCCTCAACAGGACAGGATTAAAACTATCAAAAAAAACTCAAAAAAAAAAAAAAATAAGTTAGTTGTGCCCTAAGCCAAGAACTTGGAATTATATTTTCTAAATAAAGATCTTTCTATTGGAAGCACGAAAAAAAAATTAAGGAAGAACGTAATAAGTACTTAGCTCCATGCGAATTAAATTTATAAAGATCTCTCAACAAAAAAAAAAAAAAAAAAAAAAAATAGTCAAATGTAACAGGTTTTTGCAAAACATAGAGCATAAAAGTCAAAGTATTGCTGAAGGAAGGTCAGAATATGAGGATATTTCCTCAAAAATATAAACGCCCTCATTTTCTGGTGATTAGCAACAATGAAGTAGAAAACATTTCATAATACTAATGTCTAATGCCAATTATTTAATAAACATATTTCTCTTAGTTACGAAATAATCTCTTTTTTTAACTTTTTGAAATTTAGAAATTTACTTAACTGCTCTGTAGGAAGTAACGAACATCTTTCCTGTACTTAACTGCTCAGTAGGGAGTAATGAACATATTTCCTGTAAAGCAGTTATAAGCTGTTTCTCGGTGCCAAGTGGCATTTGAGAATAGCAGTATGTCTCTCTAGCTTCCAGTCTATTTTCATTTGCGTACCCATTAACAACTTATTCCGCTAAATTATCATAATTTTAAAGGTTCATAATTTTAAAAGTTTGCCAAATAATGCAGTTGGCCTTTTTTTCCCATTTAGGTATTGTAGTGATGTAAGCAATAAAATAAAAAATAAAAATTTGATGCTGTTGTGACGAGTCCCTAAACTATTGTTTAGGAAAGGACGCTTCATTATTCGTGATAATAATTAAACTAAAGAAAGGAGTTTTCGCTAAGTAACGAAGAAAATAAATTATCCTAATATTCAGTTCCAAGCTTTCAGTCATCTTGTCTTTCAACTTTGATGCATGTGCTTCTTTCTGCTATTGTTTGTTTTCTCCCGTCCTCTCTAAACGTTAGTGATAGAATAAGATGGATGCGATGCCTTCGGATTCTACCCTTCTAAAAACCCTCAGTCATCTTTTAGGGACCCTCGGCTTCATTAGAATGGAACTCAGGCAAACAGCTATGGTGTGTGTTTCAAAACACAAATAATCCACTCTAAAGTAATCCAAACTGTTCCTCTCGTATCTCTAAATATCCCGGTTAGTATAACTAGAGGCACACATGTTACAAGTCTGGAATCACTGCACCAGAGTATGCTCAGTGCAAGGCTCAGTCGTATATATGTGGGGATATCGAGTTAAACAGCCAATATGCACAAGGGTTTTGTTTTCAAAATTCGAAGTACTCGTGTTTTTAAATTATCAAAATATGCTCCTCGGGGTATAGATGCTTCTAGTCGTTATGAGTGTGATTATGAGCCATTATGAGTGTGGTATCGATGCTCCTATTCGTTATGAGTGTGATTATGAGTCGTTATGAGTGTGATAATGAGTCGTTATGAGTGTGATATCGATACTCTTAGTCGAGCGCGTTATAATTTTGTAGCACATACACTTTGCCATTTACATCTCTCTCGGGAAGTACTACATTGATGCCCAGGATATCGTTTCTACTTTTCTGAATTCTATGTTTCTCTGGTGTAAACACATAAAGATCTATGCATTACCCTAGCCTCCTCCCCGAAAAATGTCACTCCAAATATTTACATGGAATTCCATTGTAGATTTACTAGGATGATAACGTGTACTTATCTGCTTCTACAGCAAATAAAACTGAAAATCGCTTTGTAAGTAATATCTTGACTCATCTGGATTAAGTATCTTCATTGGGCTTCAATCTACATATATGCACGGACCATTCGACTACTCTTGTATACAGTGAATTTTATACGCGGTGAGTTACATGAGGCTCACAATCTGCGATACGTTAAAAATCTTCGTACTGTGTATTTAAACAGATTGAAAAACTTTTATGAAAAAGAGACTCCGTAACAAAGCACAGTGAAATTTACAAGAAGCTTTTTCATGACAAGAGCTGAATACATGAAATTCGAAAAGAATTTGCCTTTCTGCCCTACATGATAATTCAATTTTTTATTATAACGTACACTTTCCTATCACTCAATTTATTGATTTTAATCGAAAGCTTTAGATTTTCATTTCTAAAAAGATGAAGGATGATTTATTAGAAAGATAGGCCTGCATGTAAAATGCAACATGAAAGAATTCGAAGCAGAATACATCATCGCATCCGAGTATACTTAACTGGTGCATATTTTCAAAAGTTACAACGGCCGAAGGCCTGTACATGGAACTTGTAGTTTGATACGCTGGTAGAAATGCAATTAAAATTTCATTTCTTTCTGCTTCATTTAAAATTTCATTTCTGCTTTATAACTAGATTTAATTTATTGTTCAATTAAATTAAAAAATTATTATTTAAAGACCCTACTTACTTTCTAAATCAAAATAAATTCGCCTTGAGATAAATAATGCTTCTCATAAATTTTATGCTTTTAGATTATCTTAAGTGAGAAGGTAAGTGAATTTTTCTCTTTTAACTTTGATAGTGGGTGCAAGTAAAAAGTTAAAATTTAAAATTAATTTATTTCACGTTTAAAAACTTTAAGTTGATTTTTCTGTCAACAAAAACCGTATTAAAAACTTTCAGAACATATTCAGTGATTTCTTTGTTGAATCTAACGTATGAAGAAGAATCACATCAGAATGCTTTTGTTTTTTAAGTTTCTAAGTAAAATCTATCAAATGTGAAGAACTCACAAGTAATAATAATTCAAAAATCGGACAAAAATGAAGAACATAATAGTTAATCGCTATTAAGATATGAATACTTGACATAAAGTGCAGAAAAAGATCAGATGAAACAAAAAGGTATTTAAAGTGTAAGGTTTATCCTAAGTTTTTAACAGTTTATTATTAGTTAAGGCTACTTTCCTATCTTTCTTAATTCCAGCTTACAATTTCCTGCCAGAACGAGTTTTCAGAATCGCGGTTAAATGCAAATGAAGGAAGAGCAAGTATTTAAAGTAGAAGTTCTACTGACTTCGTTAGAGAGACAGAGATTCTTACCAGCGTGCGTTCACCTTTTAGACTATACTCTCTTTAAGCTATTTCTTACGCTGGGCCGTATTTTAGGCCCTTGATAGCTTTGCCGTTTAGTTAGCGTTAAGGGGCCAACTCCTTAGAATTTTGATAGCTGCGGCTATATCTTTTTAGTTTAATTAATTTTTATTTCTTAGTATTGTTGAGTTCAAGCCCAAGTAGAATCTTTCTGTACGTCCTGAAAGAGGACAATCTGTTAACTTTATTTTGAGCAATAAAAGGTTCAAGGGGTAAATAAATTCAGAATTTTTTTTTGAGCAATAATAACCCTTCTCGGTACCTGTTCTCTGTCTACTGAACTAAAGCGATTATTCGCTTACCAGTTCTCAAGATTGCACACATTTAGCTGTAAATTCTAGGCTGGAACATCACACAAGTAATCAGAGTAATCAAGCGAAATAAATTTATGGGTTGAGCAACATTTTAATTTTAATTAAAGGAAAAAAGGATTCGGATTATTACCAATATTTCTTTCCTCTCCCCCCCCTTTTTTTTTTTTTTTTTTTTTTTTTTTTTTAACTTTTCTTTATAACCCAGTGATGTCTAGAATGCAATGAATAGCGAATTTTTCATTTTCTGTAGCGAAGAACATCTGTAATACAAAATTTTAGCATGTATTGTTTTAAATACATTTAGGTGCAAAACCGGTGTAATCTAAAGCTAAAGAAAGGGTGGCATAAGAGTGACTGCACTGGGCAGCAAACTGTAAAGTTTTCACTGGGTGACAAAAGTCTAACGCCGGCCTTGAATATGGTAGACATGTTCTTATTTCTACGAACAGGAATTTTGACTAGGGGCAATTACTATTTAAATTAATTTTAAGGCTAAGTTTTAAACTTGAGTTAGTTAACTGTAGTAATCGCACTGCTATCATGTACAAAATTCGTAATTACTATCTTAGTAGCCCATTTTTACTTATTTCTTCACATGAATGAATATTTATCCACTTGTATGCATAGTTAGTACCGATATTCCTGTATTGATACATTTAAACAGAATTTCGCATGCGAGCGTCATGTGAAAATGTTCAAACCAGATTCAGAATTTTTATTTTTATATCTATATCAATATCATCACGGCACACGTTTTTAACGCTTCTTTGACTTGCTTCATTGTAAAAATCGTACAGAATTTATGAAAAAATACTTCGCTTTGTTATGTTCAAATCATTTTTTGGCATGTTGGGATCTTTTTAAAAAGTAGTGTAGGCGATTTTAGCATCTTTTATACGTCTCTTATGCAATTAAAGGGAAATAACGTAGAATTAATTTAACAAATCACAGCACAATGTTTCGCAAAGCATAAGATTTCTATTTCTGTCACCTGAGCAAAACAAATTATGCTGCAATAGTTTTTTGCATTTTTACTCTCATTTCCCTCCTGATCAAATTAGTAGATTTCATTTATAAACAGAAAATCTTGAATGCAGTGTAAATTTATTCACTAATTTTAAACTTCAGTTACTTCTTTAATCATTTTTTTCCTCCATTTTATGCATTCACTGATGCAACTACAAGAAAAATTAGCATTACAGTAGGAAAACTATTTCAGTTCTTCATTAGTAAAGTGCAGAAGAAAAGAATTTTTTAAATAAACATAATGAGCGCAAGATAAAAAATTTTTAATTTTTTTTCTGTTATTGATAAGTTTCGTATAAGGAGATTCAAGCTAGTTGATTTAAAAGTATAATTCGATCTAGACAAGAAATGGCTGAGATTTTTATTTACATGTGCAATACGAATAAATCAGCCCTACTAAAATTATGCACAGTTCAAGATGTAAAATATACAAATTAACAAAAGAAAAATTGAGATCAGTTAAACATACCTCTTTGCAGTCTCACAGACAGAACACTTGACTTGTATGAAAGTATAAAACTGATTTGAAATTAATAGTTTTCAGATATAACGTTTGAACTTTACCACCTGACAACATATGTATGACGTTCTAATTTTAAAATTAGCCACGTGAAGAGCTGGTATGTTCAAAGGATGAATAGCTGCTGATAAGATGCTTTCCATCTTACTTCCGTAAGTTATTATCAGAAAACGTAGATATTCTTGTCATAAAACCATTGAACTCAGATAAGCTTGAAATGTAAACAAAAATGCTTACATATAAGAGAAGTTCAGACTCTATAAATAATCCATAAAGTGAATAATAAGGGAAAATACGAAAAGCAGGATGCAGAAGGCCTTAGTTCACTTGCCTTAGTAACATTGAAAGTAATGTTTCTAATGTTAAAAAAAATAGCTGGAAATACTAGTATTTAAAAAGTTAAAACACTTGAACCTCTTAAATCCAGCACTGGCGAGATCCTTCTAAATCCAAAGATAGCGATTTAGCGTGTTGGCTACCTGACACTTATAATGGGCTAACCTCTCATGGAATTTATCATGTGGAAAGCTTATATCGAGTTATCCTTAGAAAGCTCTCTATGAAGGCATCTAGCTCAAAGTAGATATGCCTGAAGTACTTTACCAGAGGTAACAAATATTAGATACAAATTCAGTACACGAATATAGACTACGCATGAAATTAAAAGTAAACACGTAAAAATTTCCCAACAGAAGACAAAGAGCTTTCAGATGGAGAAATGGAAAATGTCTTTTTCTCCCATCAGTAAACAAAAAACAAAAAACAAAAAAAGAAAGAAAGAAATGTCTTCAGTAATAAATGACGAAAACTGAGCGAAGGCCAGTAATAATATAATGCAAGGCAGCAAAACGTAGTTAATGTTTAAAATATCTTCTTCAGCCTGATGCATTTTATTATTATTGGATTGTTGTTCATGAACTGTGAAGTTTGATAGTCAAACTTCAAATAATGATAACCGTGTTAAAACTCGATTTCATCGATCAAAACAGGCATCATTAAATTCAATACACTTCTCCAAACGAAAAATAAATACATTTATGTCAGTTTCGTATTTAAGATATTCTTTGAAAACTTTTCTAGCAACTGCTTCTTTTTTCATCAGTTACTTTACCAAGAAAAGATCCAAATGTTTAAAAAACCTGCAGTGGATTAGCAAAAAGGCTGGTAAGAATTATGGACAGAAAAAATTTCAGATTGTAGTACGTTTTCTATTTCTTGAACTGCTGTTCTGGGCATGCGCTATTGTATCTACGTTACAGATGGGGAAAAACACGAAAACCATCTCATTTGCTTGTAATCGTACACAGGCCGAACTACCAGTATTCAGCGACTACTCGACCGCTGGTAGGCCTGTTCTGCGGAGTTTGGCAAGCTTTCAGTCAACGTGAATTGTAATTTTTCTATGTGCTAATTTTTTCTGCCTTTATTTACCAAGCATTTTAACTTTCCCGAGAATTTGAAAGTAATAGGAAACTCTGAAACTGTTTACAGTTAATTTCTTTGTCGTATCGTTTGCAGTTCGACGTGTTACATGCCTTGATACCCAGTCTCTTTTAATGCTGTTGGTGAGATTAGTGTTGGTAGTATAATTTATACTCTTTTTCCTCCTCTGCAAACTAGCATTTTTAAGAATATATCTTTTAAACAATAATAAATAAATTTATTTCAATGAATTGAAAATTTTAGTCTTTAAAAGAGGAGACCTTATATTCCCAGATATAGGGATACTTAATTCTTTCACTCGAAATACGTCTTCTCAGTCAAAAATCTTTAAAATTTGACCTAAGTATTTCACGACATATTGATTAGAATTTAATATACAATATTTAAATAAACAATGAATATACTAAGTTTTGCTTCTTAGTTATAACTAGAGCATACATCTGTAAAAGTTCTTTTTTTAAAACCTAGCCTTGTAGATGTACGTAAAAAGTAGGAATACAAATTTGTTAATAAATCTGAAATTAAATTAATAAAAAATGTAGTAAGCTGAAAGTAGTTTTTAAATAAACAAAATGAGAAGTATGCTATAACACTAGCAAAAATAATCAGTGAAACTTTATAATGATATAAAAAATTATGACAGCGTGTTAGCAGATATTTTCATTATCATTTTATTCACATCATTTTTGCTATAATTTCACTGAAATATTGCATTAAAAGATCTATTTTTTCATTATTCAACACTAATAAATATAAAAATCCCATATAAAAATCGACTTCATTTTCTTTTAGAATCAGACGATAACAAATTTCTTTACATTCAGCCATTCCATTATCAGTTATGTTTTATCAGTTATGTTTATACGCAATCTGCTGATTTAAATTTCTGTTATTATATTAACTTCATTTGTTGCAAAACCTGACAGCAAATGGCTTTGTCATTTTTTCCGCGTAAACATATTTCTAAACAGAAGATATTAAAACTAATAAAGACAGATCTAAAAACTTGAAATTTAAAAAACTCAGAAGAAGGAAACAATTGCTTCCTCCGACTGATATTGAAAAGTTCTTATCCGTATACTGGCTACAAAAACAAGTTTCCACGAATCATGTGATAACTGCTGTAAGGCCCTTATACTAGACTATTTTCTTTTAAATGTAAATGTGATTTGCATAGACGGCCCACAGTGAAATATCCTTCAACTCAAAGCAAGAAAAAACATATTGTTGCATTGTGTGATAGAACTTCAATTAAAGAAACTAAGGCATATTAAATGCAAGAAATAAATTCATCACAAAAAGGGTACATTCCGTTCTCTATGATTGGCAATGAATTATTTATCACATGATTAGGTAACTGGATTTGCTATATGCAAGTATTAATGTCTTAACGATCTTTTTCCCCAAATATGATCCCGAATAATAATTTTTTATGGAAGGTAATTAAAATTTGAATATTCCATGATGAAAGCGAATACAGCTGCTTGATTTTTATAGATTAAAAGTTTAGCAACTTAGCAGTTTTGACACTTTTATGGAAATATTTAGCGAGTGGTCGAGCAGTACATGTTGCTATATACACTCATGTCCATAAATTAAGAATAATTCGGAGTCACGCGGAAATTGAACTCTAAAATAAATATATCACCTGTAAAATCACTACACACATCTTCAAGAATCATACGCAAATTTCAGGAAGTAACCACATGACACCAATGGTACGTCACAATGACGAGAGTGTAAGAGAGTCATATATAAGGAATACAGGCAAAGAAGTAAAATTGTTCGCAGGCGCTTTATAAGCATTTCAGTGCAATAACCGAATAGTTATGACACAAAGGACGCACTTGGATGATTTTTACGTGGTTAGAATTATCGCCGTCTGGAATGTGGGCGTACCCAACTGGAAGTATCAGAAAGAACTTGGAATTGTCCAGAGTGTCATCTCCAGGCTTTGCAACGATTCCAAGATGATGGTAATGTGAGTAGACGTTACAGCACAGGTCGCCCCAGAGTTACAACGCCGAATGAGGACCGGTCTTTGGCAGTTACTGCCAAAAAGAAACAGGCGGAGCACAGCCTCAGACCTGTCTCGTCAGCTCTCTTCAGCCACTGGTACAACAATTTCAAGGCAGACCGTGTACAGACGCTTAGGGCAGATTGGTTCTATATGCTCGTAGACCTGTCAGATGCGTTCCACTTACTGCAAACTCACTGTCGCCTGCGGTTAGCCTGGAGTAGAGAGCATGCATTGTGGACACCGCAACAAACAGTGGGCTTGTGTGATGTTTTCCGACGAGTCCAGGTTTAGCTTGCAGTCTGATTCTCGCCGGACTTTCATATGGAGAGCTCCAGGTGTTTCGTTACCACCAAGAAAACATCATTGAACGACACCGTTACGGTGGTGCAGGAGTGCTCGTTTGGGGTGGAATTATTCTGGGTTCCAGAACTGACCTGCATGTTCAAATTGGAACCATGACAAGCCAAATCTATCGGGACGTCATTCTGGAACAACATGTACATTTTGTTTCGGGGCGCCATGGGCGCACAATTTGTGTTTATGGATGACAACGCCAGTCCTCACCGTGCAAACATCGTAAGCGAATGCCTTCAATCGGAGGATATCACCCGTATGACTGGCCAGCATTCTCACCAGACTTGAATCCAGTAGGAGCACGTGTGGGACATGCTTGGCCGACGAGTTGCAGCCCGTCAACCTCCTCCTACATGTCTACCGGAACTTCGGAGGAGCATTGCTTTTTGAGTGGTGTAATATCCCCCAAGATCAGATCGATAATTTGATACTCAGATGCCTAGGCGTTGTACGGACTGTATTGCATCGTCTGGGAGGACATACAATGTATTAACAATCAAACCAACCATGTAATATTGGTTTTTTGTAAATAGTTTTTTTTTTTTTTGGTAATTTGCTCCAGGGAGAAAAAAATCGCTAATTTTTTTAATAATATCAAACATATAGCATCTTTTTTTTTTTTTTTTTTTTTTTTTTTGCTCTTTACCTTTTGTTTAATAAATAAGCTTTACAAATAAGTCAAATTTGTAAAGCTTCTAACTCTTCCTTTGCCAGATTTTGCATTATCCTTAATGTATGGACATGAGTGTATTTTAGCATAAGTTTTAAATGACGTGAATCACACCCAGACATGAGCAAATCTCTCCATGACCACCGCCCAAGCGCAACCAATTTATGAACTCTAAAAAGGGTCACTTTTAGAAGTCGGGCTCAAAGAAAAATACGGGTAAACTCTGTATCTCTTACTTACTTCTATGTCACATATATAAGAACGTTTCTTTGCCAAGTTGAATAGAAGAACGTTTCGAAAGAACGTTTTCTATGTCAAGCTGAATCACTTTAGTTGAAAGGGCGGAGAAACTACTTTTATCGACGCGCCCTAATATGCATATCAATAAATATTCTTCACATAAGTTAGCAACAAAAATAAATGCAAGCAAATTCGTCCCTTCCGAAAGCGTTTCAGTAGAGAAACAGTATTGCAAACGGAAATTAACTGTGACTGAGCAGTAATGCATTTTGCTTGTTATGTTTATTGATAACAGCTCAATTTATGGAAAACGAAATACAATCCCTTTTCTTTTAAACATATGGCAAAGATTTCCGCGCATGCTTATTCTACC